AGCTTGTGTTATGTAAAACCACATAAGAATAGATACAATGTATTAACATAATAATAATAATAATAATAATAATAACTTACTGATATAATCAGCTGCTGCTTTATCACCAATGACCTCAAGAGCAGCACATAGAGAGGTCATTCTTGGACCTCCTTTATCATAAACATAATCAACTCTCTCTATCCATTTCACTAGACACTGCCTCAGACGTCTTTGATCATCTCCAGGATACTCAGCCTCAATAGCCTTCAGTGTAGAATAAAGTAATCCTAAAGCAATACCAAGAGGTTCCCATTTCTCCTGTGAGAAGCCAGCTTCATTCAATGATTCAAGTACATACTGTAAATCATTAATGCCTAAGAGAGGACCTATGGAGTAATGGAACATAAATTAATTATTAAAATCATAAGGATGGTTCACGGTATGTGTCAATGGTTAACTAAATTATTATTTTTATTAATACAATACTTATACTACTGAAGGTATGAATATCATTATATTAGTACCAGCAGTCCAGCATTGAGTAGTGTAATGGGTGTGGTTATTAATACTAGACCACACCCACTCTCATCTATCTTACTTCTTAATGTCCTTACAATGTCCAATGTACCACCACCTGTAACCACACCTTCCAGTGGTATAGTATACTCTAGTCTAAGAACAGCATCAGGTGTAGCATGTACTGATATACTGGAGGAGGGAGGGTCAGGATAACCAGGTGTACCAACCTTATCAACATCACTTCTATATATCTATTGATACACACCCACAAACATTAATTATACATATATATATACGGTACAGCTGGTTAATTTTGCAGAGAAAAATTTTGCTAATCCTTAAAAATAACCTGGTTTGCGGATTAAATATTTGCGGTTTTGACAGTTATTGTAGCATTATCTACTGTGGTCATGCATGAATTTCATTATTTTGCAGATTTAAATTTTGCACTTTAAATGGAATCGCAAACTCACAAAATTTAGTAATTCCCCGCAAATATTTCCAGCTATACGGTACATGATACTTAGTCTACACTCAGACGGCACATCTTTGTGTAAGGATCTTTTCTGGCTTCACTTCCTGTTACATCACTGATATAATGAAATTCATTGTCAATTTGGTTATGAATATAATTAAAATCATTCAAAATTTGAAACACGTGTAGTTGTCGGCTCATAATTAGATAAAATCTGGAAGAACACATCAACTTTGAGGGGAAATTTACCTCAATAAAATAAGACCCAGCAACTGAGGAGTCTCACATTGTATTAAGCAAAGGTAAGTACAGCACCAGACCCTTTGGCAAAAGCCCAGCACACCTGTGAATGATTTGTACAAAAATCAAAGTTGCTTCATGGCTAAAGCCCTCCATACACTAGGCAACATGTTGCTAGCAACTTCTGTGGTCACTTTGATCTTGTGTCTAAAAATAGAATTCTGTTCTATTTTTGGAACAAGATGAT